CTTGTCATGGGAAGTAATAGTGTTTTTATTTTAACTTTCTTACTTGATTGTTGGAAAAAAGAGGTGTCATTATTCCCTCCTTCCTACTAATAAATTCTTCATATCCTGCAAATTACTATAACTTTTGATTGTGTCATATTAATAGGAAAGTGACTTCAGTAGTTGAGTTTGGGATTCTTTACAATGACTAGCTTTGATTTGGGCAATCACTCCCTCTGTTATATTATCTAGTTATAGAAAAAGAACAACTTGAGAGAAAGCACAGCTGCAAGGACATACAGTTTTTATGCATGAATACCTGGCTGTGCAGAAACTGCTTCAATGTTTAGTATTTATTATAAGGCCACTGGCAGGTTTCTTCAAGAAAATGAGTTAATACATTTATATCACTCAGCCACATTGAATGTTTCATAAAGTGATGATCTTAAGAGCATATTGCTAATTTTTAAAAAATATATAATGATTATTTATTCATTTTATACAGAGAGGAAGAACACAGACCAAACTATGTATTAATGTGACACTAAAAAGCTATTTTATTTCTTGCTTGATTTATCTTAAAAATACAAATACTGACATTGTGACTGGTTCAGAGGATGCATCTGAAGAGTGAATCCTTTCCCTCCTCTAAAAATGATGGCTTATATTTTGTTTGAGAAGGAGCCATGGCAAGTAATAATGTAATTCTTGTTTGAATACACATTGTTGAGTGATAGAAAATTATAGGTACTAAGTAAGTGTTTAATGGATGACTCAATCTATTCTGCTAGAGGAAGAAAGTCAAGGAAATGTGATATTTGAGTTGAGGGACAGACATGCCAATCTGGTGGGGAGACAGGAATGGAAGACTTCTTTTGGTGCTGTGTTGCATAAGTCCAGTTTCCTTAGATTGTGTTGTATGTTTATGTGGGATGCTTTCAGGAGCTACCCACAGTAGGATACGGAGGGCCAGATGAAGGTGGGGAAATGAGCATATGAATGACTGCAAGGTGGAACCGAGTGCAGGATCCAAGGCCTGTGGAAGCGAGAAGTAGAGCGAGAGTCAGGCACTCTGGCATGGAGAAAACAGCAGGGGCCAGGTGGACAGGGCGTGACTAAAGACTGCAAATCCACTGTAACGATCACTGTGTAGTCTGATGGAGGGAACTGTCCCAAGAGAGTCTTCACTGACAGCTCTCAAGCAGAGTAGATCCTGAGAGAAATACATAAGTGTAAATTATATTTACATAGAAGGGTATACAAATGTCACAGTATATCTGAATCTGTGTGTATGTCTGGGAAGAGGTTTGGGAAACCTTCACGTAAGTGACATAAGTTCAGTCTTGGAGGCGTGTAGCTCAAAGTGTAGCTCATCACTTAGATTCAAGAGTTAAATGTAAATTATAAATGGTTATTACTTTTTTATTAGTAGTTTTTTCAAAATGTCTAGGAAATGTCACATAACTTATGATTTTATTTCTCTAGTACTGAAATTAAGTGCATTAGTATATAATAGATCTGCATTTCCTGAAAATGACTTTGCAGTTTAGTCTGTCATTAATTTAGATTAATTCCCTCACCATGAACACCCACCAAATCTAAGTAGATTAGTGGGAATTTGGTACCGTTTTATACATTCTCCTATTTCCTATTAAATTATCTGTAAAAATAAAATGTGCTGTCCTTTCACATTAATTCCTGCTTGCTTTGGTTTAAAGATTTGTATTTAAATTGATTTAAGTATTTTGGAAATAATATTGGAGTGTAAAGCACTTAACATATTCTTTACTTGCTTTAATTTTGAAAGGCAAATGTGCTTGGATCTGGAGATTGCCTAGGCCGAAGACTAGTAGAAGAATAACATGCATAGAATTTTTAACTTTTGCAGTCTTAGAATTGTGTTGAGTATACTTTTCAGAACACGAGAAACTATAATATTTTATAGTATGTTGTTATTATTCAACACATTGCTTGTGGCTGCTAACAGGTTTCTGCTAACTGGTCATCATTTAGCAAGCACTTAGGTGTTCTTTTGTAATTATTTTTATTTCTCATATGTGTTGTGCTTGAAGGAAGTTTTATCTGGAAAAAAAATATACATATGCAGAGTCCTTTAGTGCAGTACAATTGTTTTCATTATTAATCTTTGTCATTTATTTTTTATAAAACAAGTCAGATATTAGTTGTAAGCTTCTGTATTATAATGAGTGATTGTTCTATGAAGTCAGAGCCAGGTCAAAGAGAGGTCAATAAGATATAGTTCATCTAGGCATTGCTCTCTTTACCATCTGCCCATGTTAAATCACAGTGATAAGTAGGATGTGTACTTGTGCACTACTAATTCTTGTTTGGGCAGAATTTCATGGCATCTCATGGTCATTACAATTGTCCAATTACAGTTGCTCAAATTGAATTACCTTTAATTAGTGGGTCTGTCTCATGATACAGTGGGCTACTTGGACGTATTTCTGTTTAAATGGTCTGTCCTTAGACTTGGAAAACCAAACATCTTGTCATATATAAAAATTTTTAAAAAATGATGGAGAAGGGGAAGACAGGGTGCTGGAATTATTCTACTTGTATTAAAGTAAAAAATATTTTCAGTATAATCTTGTAATAAGATTAATGAAAGTGTGATATGGTCTTTGAAATCTTTGGAAGAAAGGGACAGTAATTATGCAATATAAGATATTCATCTATATAGAAATTACATACTTAGTTATTAAACAAAAATTCTGTTGTCCTTGTGATGGGAAAAAATAGCTTATTCCAAACAACCCAATTATAACAGATTTAGGTCTCTGTGAAGATTTATAGTATCTTTGAATCCTGCCCAGCCAGGAATTTTCTGTCTTGCTGCAAACCGCACACACCATTACAAAACTGTAATGGACTCACAATGACTACTGTGCAGATGATTTTGAGGCAACTGAGTGTGAATAGGCCATGTCTACCCTGAAGATTCCAAAGGACCTTTGAGCACTAATATCTGTTTCAAAAACTAGAAAATTAGGTGTTCGTTAAGATTAGAGATAGCCAAACATACCACTCCCCAAAATGCTCACTTGGGGGTGATGGCATTTTTATATTCCATCAGATCTTACTGTATAGTTATACATTATGTTGGCACCAGACAAAAGTGAATTCTCTAGAGATTTATTTAATCCAAAAGTTCTTTGCAGGCATTAATACTTGATCCAGCATGGAAATTGAAAGAGGGGTGGGAGGAGAGACAAAGATGATTTTCTCCTTTTTTTTTTCCCCCACTGAGTATCACGTGATAACCCTTTGCTTCAATTTTACTATTTTAGGTAATGAAAAACCACTAATCCCATTGTTATTCCTGTCCAGCAACTGACATCATCCTATTTTGGGGGCAAATTTCCTTAATATGCCAGCACTAAAGTTAAAAGGAATATTTTCTTTCTGGAGCATTGCTGAAATATTACTTGCAACATCAGAAGCCCATTCCTTCACTCCCCTACTCTTCCCTCTTATGTATACATCCACTGAGCAATCCTTTCATCAGTCCAAAAGTAGTTATCAACTGTTTACTATATGCTGGCAAAGCAGCGTGCTAGGTACTTGGGAAAAATGGTCAATGGCAGATCAGAGTCTGACCTTTGAATTTGCACATCTGAATCACAAAGGTGTTTTCAGCCTACTAACCTTGTGCAGTACTTGTGAAGGGCACTTTTGTGAAGATAGAAGGAAGATCAGACTCCATTCTTTTAAGGCTTTTGCCTTAGCAGTGATCTATCCTGGCAGTATTAGTGATGAAATATAGAATACTACTAACCCTGGTCTTCAAAATTAAAAACTTACCAACTTAATGAGAGATGAAATGTAGCTACCCCCAGCATCTGTGTAATCTGCCAATAAGGTGGATCTAGTGGATGTGATGGTCTGTATATTAAATGATGATATATTGAGATTACATCATCTTTGCTTGGTGCTGCATAGATGGCAATTTGCTTCCCAATCAAACCAACATTATTTCCTTTGGAATATGTGATAAGGATAACATTCTGGCAATAGCTATGGAAAGTTTCAAGAGGAAAAAAAAAAAAAAAGCTAAGTGCTGGAGTAATTAGCCTTTCTACTGCAAATACTATGTATAGCTTCAGCAATTATATGAAAATTTTAAATCAGTCATTTTCCTCTGGAAGACAGTTGTTTGCAATTGGATAGTTTTCACTCATTTTTTCACTGAAAGAATTTGACAATTCTGTCTTTGAAAACCAAAATACTAGATGGCAGAGTTGAATGTATCTTTCACTTTAAAATGCAGACTCTCTGTGGTGAATGTATTTGTTGTGGTAAAGTATTTGAAAGGAAATCCTCAGGATAATTTGGGGTAAGAAAAAACACTGTTAATATAAGCCAACCCATCAGTTTTGAATCTTGAAAGCTTTATTATGAATCAGAAAAAATTAATATTCATAGCAGAAAGAATGTATGTTTGAATTTTAATATATAATTACAGTCTTGTACAAATTTAACTTCCACATTTTCACAGATTCTAGTACAGTAACCTGATCTCAGTGATTTTTTCTAAATGAATTGATGTTTTTTAGAGTTCATATTGGTGTTATTTAGTTACTTTGTGATTTGGTATGTGTGTTGGCAAAAATCTTCCTAGATAAGTAATTTCTGTAAATGTTGCAAATTCCTTTGCAGGTTAACTTCTCCATCATTTTAAATGGCTCATGCTATATTATTCCAGTCTAGATGTATCCTTTCTGGCATGAAGGGTCCTGCTAGTCTAATAAGAAGCTCTCTTTCCTGAGGTCTGTATTTTGTGTGTGAATCAGCTAGGAGAGGGAAAAAACAGGATGCCAAACAGTAAAGAATATTCTATACTGTGGGGCTCCATCCAAAAAGGGTTTGTAACACAGTGTACAGTCTTGTCGTCCAGCTGTGTGGAGCATTGATTGCTTCTGCCTAGAGCAGGGATACTGTCAAGTTGCTCTGTGAGTTGAGTCATCTATTGACAAAGAGCTACCAGCCCGCAGATAATGCTGTACAGAGCTGCTCTCGCTGCTCCCACTGCTCCCACGATGCACTGCTTATAGCAGCTGTCAAAGATACTGAGGGATCCACGGGAGGAAAAAAGACTTTTACAACTGCCTGGAAGAAAGGGGTGTGAGGGAGGAGACATTCCTGCGCAGAGCTGACCAAAGGAAAGAGTAGTGCAGTATGAATGCATACCTCACCAAGCAGCACAGCTGCAGCCGGGGGTCCGGTGGGATGGACGTCGGCAGGAGCGCACCCACACTGATCAGGGATGCCCCCTGTGCTTGTGGCTGGCAGAGGAACCCTCAGGCACTTGAGTACCATTCTCAGACCATGCCTCCTTCAGGACCTGGTGGCTCAGCTTCCAACAGGACCAAGTTGGTCACCTTGTGGGACAGTATGCGGAAAAGCCCCCACAAGACCAGCACCAAGGGCAAAGGGACTTGTGGGGAGCACTGTTCCTGCCCACGTGGTTGGTTCAACCCAGCGCAGGTGAGCCTTTTCCGTATCCTTTTCCCTTGAGAACTGAAAAAGCTGAGAGTTAAGTTGTGTAAAGTTACATGCTTTGGAAACTTTGCTGAGTGCTCTCCCTTGCCTGTTTACGCCTGTTTGGTAGGCTGAGAAAACTTGGTATTTTCATAGGTATTGTGGACTCACATCTCTGGTAGCTTGTGAAGGTGCAGAGATGCTGTGCTTAGTTTCTTTCACTGACTTTTCCTCAAGTTCAGCTTCTCTAGTCTGAAGTTGATTTTATTGTACTTCTGCAGTGCCTTTTAGCAGTGTCTTTATTATTTCCAATTATTGATAACTTTCTACTCTGCCAAACTAAGTTTACTTTTATTTTATAGAGAAAGAAACACAAACTTTGACAGGATGCTTTCACCTCTTTAAAGATACAAGAACATTTGTTTCTTTAGTTATAGAAAATAGTGATTTGAAGTATGCTGCTCAGATTTTACTCTTACAATACTATACCTTTTCAATAATGAGGAAAATTTGTTTCTAGTAAGTCATTTTACAGACAAAGAAGTAATGGTGAGTAAATCAGAGGGTTATTAGAATAAAATAACAAAACTATTTATTCATAGAGAAGCAATAAAGTTATTTATATTAAAAACGATAACTCTTTCATAATGTATTTTTGAAGCAGATGTAGGATGCCCGTAATTTGATTCCTAGCTTATTGTTGCCCCAAACTATCAGCATTTTACCAGAAATGAAATTGACTCATTTTTCTGCCTCCTTTCACAAGAGAGAAAACAGCTTTCATTAAAATGCTACAAAATATAAATAAAATGCACCTGTAATCACTGTCAAAGTACAGAACAATTAAGTATAGATTGAAAATAGAAAAGTTGTATTTGCAGAAAATATTATTAATTTAAATATGCTTTAACTTAATTATAAAGTAAATATTAATCCCGAATAAAATGTTATAATCTGAGAGAGGTAGAAAGAATCCTGATTTCTAATTAATGTTCTATTTTTTTTGAAGTTTTTCCTTAGAATTTCATATACCACTGGGTCTTTATAATATAGGTACACATACCTGACTGTATATAAGACTTTTGCTTCATTAATATAATATAGATGGCTTTGACTCACTCACTAATATCTCAGAAAATTGTCTTAAATCAAGAATATATTGTCATTTTTGTATTAAACAGTTTTATCTTGAAACAGAGCTTGACGTTTGGAAATTCAGATATTTTTTTAAAGTAATAATGAGAATGTCAAACTGAGTCAGTAGTCTTGACAGTTTTGAAGACTCTGCATAGTCCTTAATAAACAGACGTTTTACAAGTTTTTAACCACTATATATCTCTGTTATAATGCCACTTAAGGCTCACACAGTTTAAGAAGATAAACTCATATCTGGCCTTTGACTTTTATAGAGTAGAATAAGCAAACTTACTCAGCTTGCTTTACTGTTACAGTTTATTTTATTGAAGATATATTTTTATAAATGATAATATCGCAGACCATAATCTCTGACACTACATTATAACTATCATGCTGTAAAATATCGGTACTTTCTTAAAGATGAAAACTTTTCCTTGATGTTTACAAAGTCAGCCTTCTACTTGCCCTCAATTTATAACCATTTCTTGCTCTAACAAATTGAAGTAGACTCTTCATTGCTAATTAAAGAACCAGTGAGCAGCCGATAAATTGAGGCTACAGCCATCTCCTGTTATTCTTTTTCATGCACAATACTACAAGTACTACATGTCTTCTTTTGTATTCACTGCATTTTATTACTGGTTAGGAAAAACTGTGATCACCAAATATTGAAGCTGTAGAATCATTTTAGTGTCTTTAGTGTTGTCGTACTTTTGGACGTCCAAGCTTTATCATCTTAGTCTGTAAAAAGGTTGTATTTGATTGATCAAACTCTCTTTGCCTCCTCCTCTGCCCTTTAAAAAATATGTTGAATAGTATTTAATGGTTCTATGTATATGCATATATTTAATATTTTATATTATTTACTATATATTATATATATATAATACCTGTACACATAGAAAAATAAACTGAGGTTTTTTTTTTTTCCTTTTCTCACCTGTAAAATACTTTCTTATTCTCTCAAAGAATGGTTCATTCTCTCCCCCAAAGTACATTTTCTTAACTTTTGAAAAATGTTCAAATATTTTGATATATATTTGCATGTATATACAATGTATGTTCACACATGCACTTATAGAATGTGCATAACTTTGGAAATACAGATATGTACCAAACACACATGTACTATTACAAAAACAAATTTGTTGGTGTATGTCTATATGTATGCACACAAGTCCATTAAAACAATCTGTTTTGACAATTTTGTAATTATACTTTTACCCCTTAAGTAGCGATAGGCTATCAATATTATAGAGCAAAGAATAATGTCTAGTGATACTTTACATTAGAATCCTTAATAAAGCAGAATGAAGAAAGTGCATGTTTTTGAATAGCATTGGGACCCACATGTGGGACAGAACATGCCTGAGGGTGGTTAAGTATCAGGGAGCTGGTATCCTGTCCTCAGAGTTATTTGCTCTATTACATGGAAATCAGCAGTGTGATTTCTGGCTGCTGTAATAGATGGCCATGACAGACGCTTGTGTTCTGCCCAGGGCTCTCTGCAAACTCTTGTTATTCAAGGCCCTGTGCACTTACAGGAATATGTCATTCTGGTGTTCTTTAGCAAGAGTAAAAAAAACAGCTCTGTCCTTTGTCAAATAAGTTTATGTTCCCATTAGATCTGTAGCATTAATATAAACATAATAATAGGAAGATAATGGAAAAATACAGAGTCCAGAAATAAGTGCTGGAATACATGTCTCAGATGATTGTGTCAACTTTAGGAGAAAATGATGTCCATGGTTGGTTATGTGGCATTTCTGCCCAGAGCAGACTGATGTGGTTGTAAACAGTACAGAAGAGAGGAGACTTGGAGGCCACAAGCTATGTATTTGTTCATGTGTTTCTTAATTTCTTGATTCAGTTAGCATTATTTGAGTGTCTGCTAAGGGCCACTATGTATATAATGGTGAGCAAAGTCAGTTTACACATACATTTCAGTATGTAATATTAACAAATATCTCATTATTCATACAGAATGATATAAACTTAAATCACACAATGAAAGTGAAACAAAGCTCCAAGAGTTGTTGGCTGTTCTGTGATAAATGTGTGTTCAAATGCAGAGGACTACAGAGGAGTAAGAGAACAAGATGTTAGTTTTTTTTTGTTTTGTTTTGTTTTTTAGATATTGCATCTCTTTTAGTGTAGATTTTTCTGTTTTGTAGAATGAACATAAATACAGTGCCAAACTCAGAGGAGTGTGGTGAGAAATTATTAATGTAGTACATAGCACAGTCCTTATATCTAGTAGGGGCTCAATAAACGTTTAGAGTGAATGAAAAATAAGTTCACAATAAAAAATGTCTATGATTAAGCTATTCCTTACTGTTATTAACTAATAGTATTAGTTATTTTACTGAAAAAAAAAGGGGGAATCAGTGAAGACTTCATAGAGGTAGTGATGTTCCGGCTGAATTGAATTGACTCTTGAAAAAAAAAAAATATATATATATATACATGTGTTTTTCATTACGCAAAGAGTTAAATTCAGGGGGTCAAAATAACCAAAACAAGAATGCAGGTAACTCCTGGGAACCTGTTTGGATCTATTCATAGTCTGTATGTATAGAACGTTGGTTATTGGAAGCAGGTTCATCAAGAGCTGAGGTGGACTGGGTTTGGTCACAGGTAGTCCTGATGAGGAAGCCTTTAAGTGGCTAACAATAACTCATTGCTGAATTTGACAGTCTGCTCTGCCACTCTCTGTATTTTAACCTTGTGACCCATGAAGCGTTGCTGGGCCTCAGTTTATAGTTCTAAGAATACTGTTTGTTTTTTCCCTAAGTAATGCCCCATATCTTTCCTAGTACTAACATACTATATCCCTGTCTATTGACTCCCAGTCATTAATGGGAAGAATTTAGAATGGATTTATGCTTTAGAGCAGAGTTGAACAATCCTAAATTTAAACTTACTAGCTCTCTGGTATTTCACTTGCTTTAGTCTCTTTAAGACACACTTGTCTTCTTTACAATAATTAGGATAATAAAAACATATTGCACAAAAATATAAGACTGTAGAATAATTTATATAAAGAGTCTAGCATGCCACTTAGAATAGGGGCATTGCTCAATAAATGGCACTTATTACTACTGATGCTCAAATTATTTTTTAATGTGAATATATAATGAGTCAAATTAATTATCACTACTGTGATCTTTCATTAGACTGTAGAGTTTGCTCACTGAATTGTGTGATGTCTTACTTATAGCGGTGAAGGTTAGGCTAGGCAAATGTCCAGAAATATTTGGCAGAGCACCACATAATGATGGGGTGACATTTTGTCCTTCAGTGTTATCTCAGATTTACAGTGGTGCACACTATAAAAGAAAAAAAAACACGTAAATAGAATTATTTGATGAATTAGCATTGTCAAAAATTCATATTCAGTGGTATGGGGTATTAGAAGATTTTCTCAGCAACATCCTGCTCGAACAACTGCATTTGAAAGATTTAGCCAAACTATGTAAATCTTCCCTTACAATTCCTTTGCAGAGCCTCCAGAAAAACACTTTGCAGCAACTTAAGTGCAGAGGACATTTTAGTCCAAGAGGTAGAGTTGCCCTAGGCTGAAATCATGGGCTCAGTTTATGCCCAACCAGAAATATCGAACAGCTTATTTTAACAATGTGCTTATTTCTACTGTTTCTTTCCAGCAAGAGCCTCTTGCCAAAGAATAGGACTTTTTAGTCTTTGGAAAATAACAGCTACTCCCAAGTAAGAGAAATAGAAAAGAATAAGAAGTTCATGGAAAGAATTAAAGTTATAGGCATTCCTTTGGCAGATTTAAAACCATTTGATTAATACTTCTTGTCCCCTGCTTTTAGTTCACTAGTATTGGCAGAGCATGAGCAGGACAA